TCTGTCCTCGGAGAACTCATCGTTCTGGTTGGGATCCCAACTCAAAAAGAAGTGAAGTGGGACCACTGAGAGTAGAGGTTATGTAGAAGGAAGTGGTTCTCCCCCTTGAGTTCACATTCTAATTGCCTGGGAAACTAATTTTAACATTCCCATGCCTGGGTCCCATCCCCCGAGATACTGATTTACTTGGTCATGGGTGTGGCCTGGGCATTTTGTTATTTTTAAAAAGCTCCCAGGTTATCCCAATGGGCAATCAAGGTTGAAAAACCTCTGATATGAGGGTGATGAGACACAAAAGGGAGGATTCAGCTGCCCTAAGGGGAAAGACAAGTTAATGCTTGATCAGCAGAGGCAAACAAAGAAGATGACAACAAACAAAAAGGCTCCCTAGGCAGAGACACTACACAGAAGCAAGACACGGTATATCTCATTCAGAAAACATTTGGGTACTCACATTATGCATAGGGTGTTCCCCCGACCCGGGCAGGGCTTTGGCTGGAACAAAGACAAAGAAGGAAAGCAGTAGCCAGAGAGGAAGCTGAAAAGGTAGGTGTTCATGCCTTGCTGGGTTTGACTTGGTCTTAGAATTAGGGATCGGTGAAGAGTTCCACGGAGGAGAATAGGTGACTGGATTTGTACAGTTTTAGAAAAGTGTCTCTGCCGACTAGAGAGGTGAGGTGGACTAATGTACTTGAAGCTTCCAGGCAAGACACTGAAGTTACAGGGTTACTGCCAAGTTCACTTTAGAAATGATGAGGGTCTAAATATAGGTTCATGGCAGTGAACCTGAACAGGAAATGGCAGATTTATAAGATGTGCAGGAGGTGGGATGGCAGGATGTGGTGACTGTGGGCTGTTAGGATGACTCTGAGCTCCTGACTCGAATAACAGGATGGATGGTTGGACTGTTGACCAAAATAAGGAATACTAGATGTTTCTTGGGAGAGCGAGAGGTGGATAATGATAAAAATATATAACTTAAAAAAATATTTTAAATATGTAGCCAAATTCAAAAGGAAAAAAAAAATTCTCCAGCTGTCTCAAATGAAAAAGAAACTAAAAGCCAGAGCCACAAGCCAATGTTGAAGTTGAGTGTCCCACAAATGTATCAGGAGCACATATGGAGGTCGTCCTAGTCTGTTTGAGCTGCTATAACAAAAGACCACAGACTGGGTGGCTGATAAGCAACAGAAATTTATTTCTCACAGCTCTGGAGGCTAGAATGCCAAGGTCATGGTGCCGAAAGGGTTGGGTGAAGACCCTCTTCCGGGTCCCAGACTTCTAATTGTGTCTTCACATGACGGAAGGGGCTAGCGAGCTCTGTGGTGCTTCTTTTATAAGAGCCCTGCCCCCAGTCATGAGTGACCTAACCACCCCAAAGGGCCCACCTCCTAACATTCTCTTATTGGTGTTAGGATTCCAACATGTGAATTTTTTTAGGGAGGTGTGATGAGGGGGACAAAAATATTCAAGACCATAGCAAAGGTCAAGACCTAAATAGGATCTGACATTTTAGCACCTGAGAGGAGCTGTCTCTGTGCAGAAGTTACGTAGGAGCTATTCCATTCATGAATGGAACCAGGAAAACTCTGGGCTTGGGAATTGAGCTACTCCACTCAGAGTCGGAAAAGTGGCCCCTAAAAGAAATCAGAATCCCACTCCTGTGACATGTGTAAGTAAGTACCTCAAATTGCACTACTCGTGTAGGGAGAGACACTTTTAAGAAAAAACAAATAAACAAACATAAAAACTTAAAAACTTATTTGGAACTAGTGAAACCTATAGTTTGACAAATGCAAACTACCTAAGAGTGACATCTCCAAAACTCAGGGCAAATGTGGGATTCTTGCAGGAAACATGAGGTAGAGCTTTCAGAACAAAATAGCAGATCATATGAGAAAAGAAGAAAAATGCAACAAATTGGACATTTGGCATCCAAAGAACTGCAAAATACAAAGTCATATAGAGCCACTTTAAAATTGCTGCTTTTAAATATTCAAAGAGATGAAGGAATAGAATGTATCATCCAAAAACAGGACTTTTTGGAGTGGATTTGTAAAAGAAGGGAATAGAAAATCTGGAAGTGAAAAATAGATTGAAAAATTTTCAAAAAGCAATAGATGGGTTAAATCATGGAATAGCTCCTGGGCAGAGATTTCATGAATTAAAAAAGTGACGTCCGAGAGGGAAGGCCACTTATTTGATGACTGTCTGTGAAGGAGAGAGCGGAGCTTTACTGGCGAGAAACGCTGGATCAAGGAAGAGATCCATCCATTGATTTTTTTTTTTGTAAAATTAACGTAGGGGTTTGGGGAATATATTGAGAGAGACAGTATTCACCCCTGTCCACAGGGAATACATTTCAAGACTCCCAGTGGATGCCTGAAACCACAGATAGTACCAAAACCTATATATGCTATGCTTTTTTCCCTATACATACATACCTATGATAAAGTTTAATTCATAAGTTCGGCACAGTAACAGATTAACAGCAGTAACTAATAGTAAACTAGAACAGTGATAACAGTGCCCTCCCGTCATTCTATATTTTTCAGTCCAAGCCGATACCTGAATCTGTGTAACTGTCCCTTACCTTCAGGACATGGCTGGTGTCACTCACTGCAGGGGTCCCCGTGCTGACGCCCTCGTACAGGCTCGGTGCTCTCTGGAGCGCCTTCCACCCACACATGTCATGCCTTTTCCATCCTAACGAAGCACGCTTCACGCACTGTGGCCAGAACTTTTGCAGTTTGAGGTGCGGCAGCAGAACTAGCACGAATTCCTTTTACCTTCACAATTTCACAAATAGAAATTCCATACTTACTGTCGCCTTTAGCAACCTCAGCGTACAATTTTTTTTTCATTCTTATTAAGTCTAGAACTTGAACCTTTTCACTTAAAGGAAGCACTTTACGGCGTCTCTGTGGCATCTCCTCGTTGCTGGCGTCATTACTCTCATGCTTTGGGGCCGTTAGTAAGTAAAATAAGAGTTATTTGAACACAAGTACTGAGATACCACGATAATCAATCTGATAACGGAGATGGCAGCTAAGCGACTAACAGGCAGGGCATGTGTACAGCGTGCGCACCCTGTTCAAAGGGGTGATTTTTGTCCCAGGTGGGATGGAATGAGAAGGCATGAGATTTCATCCCTTGCTCCGAAAGGCACACAGTGTCAAGCGCAGGAATTGTTTATTTCTGGAATTTTTCTATTGAATATTTTTGGACCGTGGTTGAATGCAGGTAACTGAAACCATGGAAAGTGAAAGCATTGAGTGATAAGGAGGAATGACTGTACCGGATATGCAGGTAAAGGGGATAACTGGGGTGAGAAATGATTCCCCAAAAGCCTAAGTGTAGGGGTTGCTGGAAGTGAATGAGGAAACAGATTTGAACATACTTCTGTGAGGGACCGGAGGTGGAATATTTGAAAGTATGGAATTCGGTCCCCTCCTGTCTCTGTCAGATAGGAAGAATGTGGGGGATAAGTAATGAGGACATAAATAAATGGCAAAGGTTGAAAAAATAACCATTGAGGGAAATGGAAGAGAGGTTGATCAGGGACATGAAAAGACTGCCAGAGAGCATGAAGGGACCTGTCATAAATTGGAGGTGGCACCATTCAATACGATTGCACCCAGCACCCCCAAATATAAAAGTGTGGAAGTTAGATTGTGGGATGAATCCATACATATTCCATAAATGATGCAAGAAAATAACAAGGAAAAAGGGGGGATTGAAAGTCCCAGTGTAATTTGAGGGATTAGGGAAGAAGGTCTTACAGTCTAATGTTTGTGTTGCTGACCATGGTTGCTGTCAGTAAACTTTTGCTTCTGGTGAGTTAGAAGAATTCTGGAAATCAACTGTGGTCCTCTTATGATTCCAGCTTATTTGTCAGAGAACCAGGGTGCTATTGCTCCCTCCAACATGAGACCATATTACCTTGAGTCTTGTTATGGTGAATCAAGGTTTTCAGCTTCAACTTCTTTTGTCTGCAAACATTGACTTGTCTGTTGGGTGAAGGAGATTTTATCCTCCAGACACGCATATACACCGAGCATATATTGTGGATTTAGAAGTGCGTAATATCCCCCAATATAACCCTTATTCTCAAATCCCTGTCTGTGGGGGAGGGGAAGGCCTCCTGGGGCCGTGGTCAACTTCAGAGGAGTAGCCAGCTCATTAGCACTCCCTCATAAATAACTGTCACTTCTGTCACCAAGAATTGCTGATGAAGATTTTTAGACCACTCACATTAGCTATAGGGACAGAAATGTTGAACAGAAAGAGAAGCTTTTTAATTAAGTTGAAATTGAACATTGAAAATGAATTTCCAGGTACGTTCTGGTAAAAGCAGTGTTAATAGCTACCCCGTGGGCCCTGTTAAAGGATGTGAAGCCTGTCAACTCGAGGTCACCCGTCAAAGCCCACCCGAGAAAGCAATAATCAAAGTCTTTTCTGCCTGACATCAGGGTCAGAAGGTGCCTCTATGATGGTAGATTTGCTTTGAAAAGAGGGGTGTCCGCAGTTTAAAAAGATACCTTCAAGTAGCACTAATTGGTAGTTTAAATCAAGAAGTCAGAGAACAATCCTTTGTGACACTTCTGTCACCCTTCAGGTACCATTTATGTTGTTGTTAAATATTCTTGTATATGGTTGCCCCACCTTATTTGTTTCTCATTTCTCTCGAAAGATCCTCCCCCAAACCTACCATACACTTTCACTTTCCCTATGGGATTAACTATGATAAAGGAAGACTAATTAGTATAATTAGCTTTCATCATTACTCAACAATGAAGAAACTAAGAATGAAATCTAGAAATGATATTTCCCAGTAATGTGACCTATGTATGAACGAGTGTCACTGCCCCCAGTTCAATTAATGGATTATGTTAATAAGAGAGAGAGGGTGCAATATCTTTTCTGTGTAGCAAAGATGGGAAATGCTACCTGGATACCTAGCAGAGTGCTGAAGTATCTCTTCTGCTGGTTGTGTGTAGGGGCATCGTCCAATCAGAAGAAAAACTTGTCATCAGTGCATCTTGGGCAAAAGATGACGATATCAGCAGACTCTTGAAATCCCTACCCAATTGGACCAATATGGCTCAACCCAAACAGCTGCGGCCAAAGAGAGAAGATGAAGAAGATTTCATAAGGTAAGAAGGTCTATTTTCTAAGTTGTACTAAACATGGGGAGGAAAAACACCTGGTTAGCTAATTCTTTCTTGTGTGAAATTTTGTCCAGCTCTAAATATCATCGCAGCAGTGAACTGAACTTAGTAAGTCTGTTTTCATCGTACCATACCTCATTCCCTATGTAAGCATGCTGTGTGCTCAAAACTTTAGAAGGAAGGGATTAATACGAGTCAAATTTGAAGCACTGCTACATTGAGTTAAAAATATCTTTTAATTTTTATGTCGTTCTCCCTTCAAATATAATTATATAATTAATTTTGAATTATAATGAAGCAAATATTGTTCATTCATTCATTCATGTATTCATTTGTTCAGCAAAGCTGTATTGACCTTCTTATGTGCCCCGCCTTGGAAATAGGACAATTAATAAGAAAAATTCCTACCCATACAGAGTATGTTACAGTTGTTTTTAGCGGGTTGTTCAGTTCATAGAACCATTAGTTCAACTTTCTGGAAATACAAATATGCTTCTCATGTGTGTTCATATACATGGTATTCTCTCTGAATGTTTTCTGCTTGTTTTCACAAAAGTAAGGTCTGTCTTTCTGCTTTATCACTCAACATTTACCTGTATACAATTTAAATTGTTAGCCATTAAAATGGAGCCTAATTGGATGAAGCTACTCATTTTCACATGGCTGGCTTGCCATAGGGAAACGTTTCACTGCTGCCGTCTGAGAACTTTGTAGAGTAGAAAAAAATAATGGAGGTAATACTTTGTCACACTAAAATTAAGTTTGTTTTTGTTGCCTTTTGCCTAAGTGAATAAATAAATAGTAAAAATAAAATAAAAGCTCTTTAAAGAAGCAAAGACCAGTAAAGAAGTATTAGCCAACATCTTACTTTTAATTTATCATAGAACTGTGGGCTCATCTCTTTTACGGATGTAGGTTACAGCTGTAGGTAAATAGGTCTTTACTGCTCACAAAGCTAATTGTATTCATACAGTGTAGTGCCATATTTTTTTTTAATTTTATTATGAAAATTTGCTATAGTGCCATTTAAAACTTTCTCAAATCATGATACTCAAAAATTCATCTATAATTTAACCTAAAGCCTATTTATGTTTTTCTTCTTCATTACTCACATTCTCAAAGAGAAAGTTGTCAACTGATTACTTTGTATGTATATGTGTGTGTGTGTGTGTGTGTGTGTGTGTGTGTATAATTTTTTATTAATAGACTTTATTTTAGGGGAGAGCAGTTTTAGGTTTATTAAAAAAAAAATTGAGGGCAGGCCGAGTGGCTCACTTGTTAAGAGCTGGCTAGGGAGCACGAGCTCTGAGCAGCAGGGCCCCGGTTCGGATCCCACATGAGGGCCAGTGATGCTGCACCCTCTACAGCTAAGATGCTGGACAACAGCTCAACCTGGAGCTGGGCTGCCCTGAGTCGATGGCAACAGCGTAGGCTGCAGTGGGGCTGCAGTCGGGCTGGCTGGCAGCGGGCATGAGCTTTTGTGAGCTGCCCTGAGCCACCGTGAGCTGCCGTCCAATGGCCGGCGAGCGACTGCCTCAGCCGGGAAGAGCGCAATGATAATACCAACATGGGCCAGTGAAGTGACATCCTCCACAACTAGACTGAAGAACAAAAGGACAGCAACTTGTCTGTTCCCTTTCCCCAAATCCCTAACACTGTTCCCTCCCCCAATTCCCCAATAAAATCTTAAAAAAATAATTAATTGAAAACCACAGAATTCCCATATATCCCCTCACTACCCCCCCCCCAATTTCCTCATTTTTAACATCTTGTGTTAAGTGTAGTACATTTGTTACAATTGATGAGCTAACATTGATACATTATTATTAACTAAAGTCTATGGTTTATATTAGAGTTCACTCTTTTCATTGTACAGTCTATGGATTTTTACAAATGTATAATGAATGTATCTACCATTATACTATCATTCAAAATAATAGTTTCACTGCCCTAAAAATCTTCTGTGTTTTTCTTATTCATCCCTGCCTTCTTCTCCCTGAACCCCTGGTAATCACTGATTTTTTTTTTCTGTCTCCATAGTTTTGCCTTTTCTAGAATGTCATACAGTTGGAATCATACAGCTTTTTCAGACTGGCTTCTTTTGCTTAGCTATATGCACTAAAGTTCCTTCCAGTCTTTTTGTGGCTTGATAGCTCTTTTTTGTTTGTTTGTTTGTTTGTTTGTTTGTTTCTGAATAGTATTCCATTGTACAGACATACCATAATTTGTCCATTCACCTACTGAGGGACATCTCGGTTGCTTCCAAGTTTTGGCAATTATAAATAAAGCTGCTATAAACTTTTGTGTGCAGATTTATCTATGGATGTACGTTTTCAATTCATTTGGGTAACTACCAAGGAACGTGATTGCTAGATCCGTTGATAAGAGTATATTTAGCTTTGTAACCATCAAAGTGGTTACAAAGTGGCTGCACCATTTTGCATTACCACTAACAATGAATGAGAGTTCCTGTGGCTCCATGTCCTCACTAGCATTTGATGCTGTCAGTGTTTTGGATTTGGTACATTCTAATAGGTGTGTGGTGATATCTCATTGTTTTGATTTGTATTTCCCTAAAGACACATGATGTTTGGCATCTTTTCATATGCTTATTTCACATCTATATATTATATAGTTTTTAGGTGAGTTATCTGTTCAGGTCTTTTGCCCATTTTTAAATTGGATTATGTTATTTTCTTATTTTTGAGTTTTAAGAGTTCTTGGTATATTTTGGATATCAGTCCTTTATCTGATACATGTTTTGCAAAGATTTTTCTCCCCCAGTCTGTGCCTTCTTTTTTCATTCTCTTCCTAATGTCTTTTGTAGATCAGATTTTTATTTTAATGAAGTCCAACTAATTGATTATTTTTACTTTATGGATTTTGCTTTTTTGCCTTCTGATTTTACTTGATCATTTTACATCATTCCATTTTTTCTCCCTTCTTAGCATATAAATTATACTACTTTTTAAACTTTTTTTTTTGAGTGGTGATCCTAGAGTTTGCAATATACATTTAGAACTAATTCAAGTCCACTTTCAAAAACACTGTACCACTACATTGGAATAATAGAGTATTCCAATTCCTCCCTCCCTTATGACATTGCTCTCATTTATTTTATTAATCCATAAGCTATAATCACTGCATATAATGTTATAGTTTTGAACAAACTGTTACCTATTGATAAATTAAGAATAAGAGAGATTAAAGGTTTTATTTCCTTCATTTTCCCTTCTCTCATGTTCTTCCTTTCTTAACGTAGGTCCAAGTTTCTGACCTATATCATTTTCCTTCTCCCTGGAACACTTCATTTTATAAGGAAGGTCTCCTGGTGACATCTTCTCTCAGTTTTTGTGTGCCAGACAAAGACTTTAGTTTTCCCTTGCCTTTGAAGAATAATTTCACTGAGTACAGCATTCTAGGTTGGTGATTCTTTTCTTTGAACACTTTAAATATTTCACTGTACCCTTCTTGCTTCCACAGTTTTTGAAGAAAGGTCCAGTGTAATTTTTACCCTTGTTCTTCTGTAGTTTTTATAGGTAAGGTAGTTTTTTCCTCTGGCTTATTTCAAGAGTTTTTTTTCTTTGGTTTTGATATTGTGCCATTTGACTATTATATTCCTAGATGTATTTTTGATTGATTGATTGATTGATTGATTGATTGATTGATTGATTGATTTTTAGCGTTTTTCATGCTTGCTGTTCTCTGAGCTTCCTGGATCTGTGATTTGAAATTCTCAGTCATTGTTGCTTCAAATATTTCTTTTCCTTTTTCTCTTTCCTCTTTTTCGGTGTTCCCATCACACATAACATAACATTCCACCTTTTGTAATTGTTCCACAGATCTTGGATATTCTGTTCTGTCTTTTCATTCTTTCTTCTCACTGGTTTTCAATATCGGAAATTTCTGTTGACAGTTCTTCTAGCTCACTGATCCCTTCCTTAGTTTTGTCTGTTCTGTTGATAAGCTCATCAAAGGCACCCTTCATTTCTGTTATGGTATGCTTGATTGATAGCATTTCCTCGTGATTCTTTCTTGGAGTGTCCATCTCTCTGCTTACATTACCTATAGTTCACTTTTTATTGAATATATATTACCTACGCGCACATCTCAGAGGCACGGCTTGGTACGTTTTCACACTTTCCGTTGTGTAGCCAGTACCCAGGTTAAGACAGAACAGCAGCAAGCACCCTTTTTGTGCTTCTTTCTGGTCACCATTTGCCTCTAATAGTCTTTATCTGACTAATAAACACATGGGTTAGTTCAGCCTGTTTTTGGTATCTACATAAAAGGATTCATGCAGTTTTGAATTCCTTTATGACCGGCTCCATCTGTTCCACATTATGTTGGCGAGATTCATCCATATTACTGTGTATAAGTTCTATTTTACTCCGTAGCCTATATTGTATTCCACTGTGTGAATACTGTATTCACTGTGTGAACCAACTGAGCCACTTGGCCGGCCCTCCATAATTTAGTTTTGACTGTCCTCAAGTTTTGTATAAATTGAATCATATTATCTGGTTTATTTTGCCGAACATTATGCCTGAGAGATTTGTCCATGTTTATCCATTTAGACAGGGTTTGAAAACAAATTATATGTGTTTTCCCAGAAGGAAAAAAATCTTGTAGGGACTGTTTTGTTTTGCATACGATTGATTGTTTCCTCTTAATCTGTCTCATTCTCTGTCCTGAGTAGACGTTGAAAGCAAAGGTAAGTAGGAGAGAATACACTTCATTGATATTCCAGTGTGGTCGAGTTGACAGAGAGCCTCGATTTAGCGCATTAGAGTACCACGGAGCTTGTGTGAGCCCAAAGACTGAAAAGTCACACTCTCCTCCTATAATTAGTTTCAGAGCTTAGAGGGCTCTTTGGCACCTGGATGAATATAGACTACAGTGCCCTTTACACTGAATAAAGGTTATATTCCCTTCATTACTAAACGAGGCCTTTTCCTAGTCTTGTTTTTTAACTAAAAAAAATA